CCCTAAGGGCCCCAAGAAGCCAAAATCAATGATTTGCTTTCGGCTGTTGATGGGTTCTAGCAATTCTGCTGCTCGGCGTCCCGACGCTCCAAAACGGTCCCAGACACCCAACTATCGCCCCAACAGGCCCCCACGAGGGCGCCGAGACTTCCCAGGGACGCCCTGACGCGGGGCCTGGTTGGGGCCTTCGGACGGGGGGCCCCGGGGCCCTGCCGTGGCGCCAGGGGCTCTCTGAAGTCGCCCGAGGACGGCCCCGGATCGCCAGAAAATGCTGTAGCCATTGTGGCTCAAGCAATTCTGGCTTAAGTCTCAAATTGCTTCGTTCAAGAGAACAGTCTGCGCTTTCCGACCTGCTGGTCGCGCGTTGTTGGCTTGACCTCCACAGGATCAATGACATCCCAGGAGACGAAGCCCAAATACTATCCGACGCCCATGGCGTGCGAGGAGATGAAGCGCATTCCCCTGGGCGATATGTTGAGGGCCGTGTTTGTGAGCGGTGGCATTAAGGAGATGATCTCAGTTGACATTCTCGGGCCCCTCAAGTCTTCATGCTGTGGCATTGACGGCCCCAAAGTTTCTTTTGAGGCAACCGACTTCGACGTCTACAAGCCGGACGGCACGACGGCCAAGCTCCTCAGCTTCGCCAGCCCGGGCCGTCCGCTGGTGCTTTGCATGGGAGCTATGTGCACCTGACCCGCCACTCGCAACGGCGCGCGCGAGATGAGCTTGCTCGCTGCTGAGTTTCGCGGCAAGGCTGACTTTCTGCTCGTGGGTTGCACGGAGAACCACACTAGCGATGACATCCCCTTCGGCAAGAACAACGGGTTTCCTGGCGCAGACGGCGAGAACAACGGTCGATGGAACATCCCCCAGCCGAAAACGCTGCAGGAGCGCATCGACTCGGTGGCCTCTTTTTACAGTGATTTCTCAGACTACCTCGTCAGCACAGGCGAGCCCAAATTGGATATACCTTGGGTCGTGGACGGGATGGGCAATGAGGTGGGAGATACCTACAGGGCATATCCATTTCGCAACTACGTGGTCAAGGACGGGGTCGTTGTGTTTCAAGGTGGGCATGGTCCGATGGCGCAGGTCACAGATCACATCAAGGCCTGCCTGGAAACGGAGACATCACCATAAGCGTACCGTGTCGTGCAGAAGCGAATATTGTGGTGGTTGTATCGACTCCAAAGATTTTTTACAGCTCGTTCGGCATGCTGCCCCAAATCCAGTCGATCGCCCGCCCATGTTGTTAACCAGGCCGCCTGCAACCCAACGTTGCACATAGCGACAGCGGTCGAAAGATAGTTCTGCAGACGCTACCTTGGGCCGGCTAGAGTGTGCATCGCTGTTTGCTGGCAGCCGATGGCCAGTAATCTTGACGATTTTAGCGGGTGACGTCCCACCGATCTAATGCCCAGAAATTTGGATGGTGTGTGCCATCTTCGCGATTCGCGGCTTCAAATATCGTTCTGTCCCCACCCATGAATGAAGCAGGCGTTCTCTGATGGTGCAGTTGCCGCTCACGAGGGCGCCTTGCCGACGCATGGGTCCCGTCCCGAAGGATTGTTAGCGAATCGCGTTTGGCCGCTGCAAAGTATAGAATGCCATGTGCTTTCATAACAAACAAGATAAACTAGCGTTTCCAGACAAGGAGCACGACCAGTGACGGTCCAAGATCACCCCAGAATTAGCCCTTGATTGTCCAAGAGGCTTCCAAGAGGCCCCAGAGGCTTCCAGGATGCCTAGAAGGAGCCCCAGGAGGCACACATAACTTTTTTTCCTTATGGTTTGGAAGGGTGTTCGAGTTCTCGCCTTTTCAGTTTCCCGACGCTCCACGACGGCCCAAGAGGCCCCAATGCCCGCTCCAAGACAGCCGCAGAGTCTTCGAAAACGGCCACGAGACAGCCCAAGGAGGGCCCCAAGACGGCACCAGAGACGGCCAAGACGGCCCCAGAGGACCCCAAGGCGGCCTCCAAGAGGGAGCCAAGGGGTAACACGAACCGCAAAATGCATGCTTTCCACCCCGAGAGGCTCTCAGGAGGCCCCGAGAAGCCCCCAGCAGGCCACAAGGGGCCCCAAGAAGCGCCCCAGAAGGGCCGAAGGGGTTCCAAGAGGCCTCCCAAGAAGGCCCCAAGAGGCCAAAATCATTGTCTTGCCATAGGTTTCTGGTTGATGTTCGAGGTTGCAGCCTGGGGGCGTCCCGACGCTCCCAGACGGCCCAAAAGGCATCCAGGGCCGTTCCAAGGTAGCCCAAGAATCCCCCAAGATGGCCCCGAGACGGCCCACGAGGGCCCCAAGACTGTGCCTGAGGCGCCCAAGACGGGCCGCGAGGGCCCCAAGACGGCCCCAAGAGAGGCCCAAGAGCTTGGAATCGCTCGGACGTGTGCATCTTTCCTTCGGCGAGGACCATCGAGGAGCATCCTTGATCATTTGGCGAAACAACCACGCACGAAACCGAAAAAAACACAGGGAATGGACGTGCGAGCGATGGCCAGAGAAGGGTAAGACGAATTGAACATCCGAGCCTTCCACCCCGAGAGTCGCTCAGGAAGCTCCCTAAGAGGCCCCAAACAGGATCCGAGGGGCCCTCAAGCAGCTCCCCGGAGGGCCGAAGGGTGTTCCAAAATGCCTCTCCAGAAGGCCCCAAGAGGCAAACATCACTGTTTTGCCATAGGTTTTTCGATTGAGTTTGAAGTTTTCAGCCTTTTGGCATCTTGACGCTCCGAGACGGCCAAAGAGGCCCCCATGACCGCTCCAAGATAGCCGAAGAGGCTTCCAAGAGGGCCCCGAGGCCCCCAGGAGGCTTCCGGATTGCCTCAATGTGGCCCCAGGTGGCCTCAAGGTGGGGCTCCACGCAGCCAAGACGGCGAATGATGGCTTCGGATTGCAGAAATCACCTTCCGACTGCCTGGAGAACACAGGGGCCCCCAAGGGGCCCCAAGAAGCCCCAAGACGCCCCGCAAGAAGCACCCAAGAGGTGCTTCAACCAGCCAATCGAGGAAGCACAGAGAAACCCCCCAGAAGCCCTTCGGATGCCCCCACGAAGACCCAAGAGGTTCCCAATAGGCCCTCAGGAGGCACGACTATGTCACGCGTCTGTGCTTGACAGCGCTGTCCAAGATCGTCCAGCGCCCCCCTGGCCTGGGCTAGAACCTGAGCGCGCGCGAAGCGCGCGCGATGGTTATAGTAGATCTAGACAAACATGCATACATACATACATACATACATGCACGAGCAAATCCATACAGACGTCCACACAACCATTCATATATACATGCATGCGTACATACAAGCACACAGACAGACAGACAGACAGACAGACAGACAGACAGACAGACAGAAAGACAGGGAGACAGTCACACACATACACACGCACATATATACATATATATATAGATGTTTTTATATAAACACGTACATACACACATCCATGTATGCATGCGTACAGACATCCATACATACATCCATACATACATACATACATCCGTCCAACCATACATACATACACACATACACACAAACAAACACATATGAGGACACACATATGTATATATATATATGTTTATGTATGCAGATGTTTACACATATAAATATACACGCAAATCGAAGACGCCTACGGCGAATCACCGCCGCCCCCTGCCTTTTTGGAAGCGCCTCTGTGGCCGAACGTTGAGGCCAGACTTGCCAAGCTATTGGACCATGTGTTCCCCGAATCGGTTTGGACAGCCTTCGGGGAACACGTGGGCACCTTGAAGGTCATCTTGGCCGTCTGGAGGCCAGTTTGACCCTTTCGGGCCTTCTTGGAGGACGTCTTGGAGGGCTCTTGGGCCGTCTTGGAGGCCATCTTGAGCGTCTTGGAGACCTCTTGGGCCGTCTTGGGGGCCTCTTGAGGCCGTGTCCTGGGCCTCCTGGGCGATCTTAGGGGGCATTTGGGCCGTCTCGGGCCGTCGGAAGGCAGAAAAATAGTAAATGCCACAATCCTTCAAAAACCCATGGGGAATCAATGATTCTGGCCTTTTTCATGGTTTCCTGGAGGCCCTCTTGGAGGCCTCTTGGGCCGTCTTGGGCCATCTCAGGGCCATGTTCGGCCGTCTTGGTGGGCTCCTGGTCCGTCTGACCCCGTCGGAAGCCGTTTGGGGGGCCTCCATGGGCCGACTTGGGGCCCTCTTGGAATGCTCCAGGGCCGTCTTGGAGGCCATCTTGGGCGTCTTGGAGGCCTCTTGGGCAGTCTTTGTGCCCTCTTGGGGCCGTCTTGGGGCCCTCTTGGGCCGTTTTGGGGCCATCTTGGAGGCCTTTTGGGCGATCTTTCGGCGATCTTTGGGGGCTCTTAGGCCATCTCGGGCCGTCGGAAGGCCGAAAAGAAGCACATGTCAACATCCGTCCAAAAACCTTAGGACAATCAAGGTTGTTTGCCTCTTCTGGCCTTTCTGGAGGCCCTCTTCGGGGCCTCTTGGGCCATCTTGTGCCAGCTTCGAGCCAACTTCGGCCATCTTGGTGGGTTCCTGGCACGTCTGACGCCGTCGGGAGCAGTCTTAGGGGGCCTTTCTGGGCCGACTTGGGGCCCTCTTGGGGCGCTTCGGAGCTGTCTTGGAGGCCATCGTGGGCGTCTTGGAGGCCATCTTGGGCGTGTTGGAGGCCTCTTGGGCCGTCTTGGGGCCCTGTTGGGGCCGTCTTGCAGGCCATTTGGGCCGTCATAGAGCCCTCTTGGGGGCCTCTTGGCAGATCTAGGGAGGCTATTAGGCCGCCTTGGGCCGCCGGAAAGCCGAAGAGGCGCAAACGCCAGAATCCTTCAAAAACCTAAGGGAAATCAATAATTTTGGCATCGTCGGTCCTTCCTGGAGGACCTCTTGGAGACCTCTTAGGCCGTCTTGGAGGCCTCTTGCGGGCCTTTTGGACCGTCTTAGACCATCTTGAGGCCATCTTGGGCCGTCTTGGGTGCATCTTGGAGCCATCTTAGCCGTCTCTGAGGCCATCTTGGCCGTCTTGGAGCAACTTGGGGGCCATCCTGGGGCATCTTGGCCGTCTTGGAGGCCATCTTGGGCCATCTTGGGGCAACAGAAGCATTGACAGATGGGTTTTCCCCAGGGGGAGTTCTTTTGGAAAAAGAACCTAAACCCAAACCGTAATACTTTAGCACGCCAGGCCCCCCTGCGATGAAACGACAGGGGGCGGCGGACATCAAATGGCCCTCGGCCCATCCCGCCACCGTGCCTGGGTTAGGGGTAGGAAGCCTATTGGCTGTCGGCGGGGATCGTGGATCTTGGTTTTAGAGTCGCCATCGTGGCGGACTGTTCATGTCGGCATCCCATGCGGTAGCAGGCCTTGCCCTCCGCCAGGCGGCGGTTGCCGGCCCCATGCCGAATTCATGGCTAGGGGCTTGGTTCGGTCGCAAAGCATGGGAGCCTTGTGTGTCCTGGGAAATCCGTCTTCAGAGTGCATTAGGCGTGCGCTAGCGTCCGTCTGGTGGTAATCGATGAGAGAGCGCCGATTTAGCGTCGATTCAGCGTCGATTAGAGTCGGCTTAGCGTCGATTCGCAAGAGCCACCAAGATGGTGTGCAAGGATGAGTGGCAACCGAAGGTTGGAGACTGTTTTTAGGTCCCCGCGATGACCTGGGCTCTCGTGCCCGCCCGCCCCCCCCCGGATAATTTGACTGCGTCGGTCGCGCATGTCCGAATGGGGTGCGCCGTGCTGGTGCGCGTGGGCATACAGTGAGCGGCTTGAATAAGGAACACTTACTTTCCAAAAGGGGCTCGGTCGTTCCTTAGGTTTGCATGCGTTATTTACAGTTCCTTATGCGTTATTTGTTATGTATCGTTCCTGATGCGTTATTCCTTGGGATAAAAAAGGAGCTTCGTTCCTTATTTATCGTTCCTTAGGTCAGGCCGATGACTGTACGTGGGGCCGCCCAAACCGGAAAGGTTCGGATATCGACCGGCACCTTCGAACAGAAGGTCAGGCTGGTCCCTGAATGCATGGCGAGAGGATTGTCGTTGCCTTCGTGCAGGGCTGGAGAGCCTTTAGGTGGTCCCCGGCGTCCGAAGGTCAGGTTGGTCCCTGAATCCATGGCGAGAGGATTGTCGTTGCCGTCGTGCGGTAGCGGGCGCGTCCAGGGGCGTTGGCGGTCGCGTCGCGATTCGCGCCGACGCCCTCTCTTCAGGAGGGGAGACAACACACAGACACAATTAATCGGCGATTCCCCGAAAATATGGAAAAATATGGGAAGTGGGGGGGAAGACAGAAACCCAGAAAATATAGGAGGGATGTTTTCATTTGTGTGTATTTATTTGTGTGTCCCAGTTCCCCTTCATCTCTGGGAATCCGGAGGAAGGGCTCAGTTCCAGCACGGCGCGGGCGCGACTCGCGACGTGCCCCGGGGGAGAGGAGGAGGGTGGGCTGTCGGGCCGGACGAAAGGGGGGGATTGGGAAAGGGGGGATTACGAAATTTGCTGCATGCAGCTAGTTTCGGCCTCACCGAGGGGCCCATTCCTCGATACATAGCCGCCTCCGGCGCCGGGAGGCGCCGGGAAAATCAGCTACGTGAGCTGGTTCTCAAACCCCTCCTTTGCTATCCCCCCCTTTCGCCCGACCCGGGGCTGGGCCGGTCACGGGCGTCGCGTACATAAACTGGGTTCCGAGGACAGGGATCTATCGCTCCAGAGCGTGTCTCGGGGGCGGCCCAGAGGGGCATGGCGTGGGCCATGATATCTCCCCAGATTCCCTGGCGCCGCTTCATATTCCATTACGTCTCCAGCACCCCCCTGGGCCGCGCACATGCCGTCGGCCATGATTTGCGCCCCTCCTCTTGGACGCCCTCCTCTTTGGCCGCCCCCGAGCTTTCCGGAACGAGCGGAGGAGGCCGCGGAGAGTTGTAGTTTCTCCATGCCGCTGGCTCTCAAAGTTCCCCGCGTTATGCTTGTCCAGAACTGTCCCTGTCCTGGCTTCCAGCTCCAGCTCTCCTGCAAGTGGCGCGACCCCCACCCCCTGCTACCGCCATGACGATTTTGAACAGGTGCCCAGGGCGAGCTCCTCTCATTCGGTGAAGTCCCTCCCGCCCATGGCGGATGTCTGGGCCCCCGCGCCAAGTCTCGCTGCGTCTGCTTACTTGGTGCGGGTCGGCCGCGCTCGGCGCGCCCAGCCTGTCGGGCCTGCTCTGACACCACTTCGGTGTTTCAGGTGATATCGAACATGGATCAAAGGGGCGTGGATTAGCATTAAGTCGGGCCTGTCCCCCTACAGAGGGATTTTCAACCAAAAATAAAAGATACCCCCCAAATAGTCAAAACATACTCCAAAAATAGTCTGGGGGCTATTTTCCGTGTATTTGTTTTGCCTTTTTTTGGGCATTTTGGTGGTATTTTTTTGTTTTTCGTCGAAACTCCCTCTGTAGGGGGACAGGCCCGACTTAAGATTAGCGACGGGTCCCGTTTCCATGGGAAGTGGCGGATTTCCGCCGCCGAGCGAGATGGCACCGGCCGCGTTTTGGGGAGGGCCCCTCCCCCGATCCATGGATTTGGCGACCGCGCGCCAGATCCACGGATCGCTACTCCATGGTTGCGCGCTCCCGCTTGTCTCACGAGATGGCGCTGCGGCTGCCAAGAAAATGGACGTTCCTCCCCACTCCTTACCAGTTTGAAACATATCCCTATCCCTGTGTTTGGCATCACCTCACCTCGATGTTGATCTTAAGGATTCTCTTTGTTTCTGAGGGCACATCCCTAAGATTGTCCTCGCTTTTTGCTCGCCCATCTTCGGGATATAGATAGGTTTGAGGCTGGTTAACTCCCTGGGAGGGCCGGCCAGGGGGCTGCCTCGGCACGCTCTGCTGGGGCTGCACGGAGGAGCAGGCGCTGGTCTTCAACCGGCTGGCCGGCCGGGACCTGCTCAAGCTGGCGAACGCTGGCATCGGTGGGACGGCCACAGTAGGAGGCCACATGCGAGCCCTACCCATACCCCCCCACGATTTCTGAGGGGGAGGGTGGGGTTCACTTCGTTCGGTTCGCTCCCGAGCGAAGTGACCCCCCCCCCCCACCCTCCCCCTCCGAAATCATGGGGGGTATGGGGCAGGGCTCGCACGCGGCCCCCTACACAGGGGATCGCCGTGGGGATCGCCGTGACGGAAACGAGACCAGAGGGAGAGCTGTCGTGGGGTCTTCTGCCGTTTTCGGGCCCCCATGGCCCTTCCCGGGGCTCGGGGATGAGGAGCTGGTCCTGGGGAGTCCCCAGGCTTCACGACCCGTTTCTCTCAGGCCCGCTCTCCTTCGTGCCAAGGGCTGGGTGGGGCCGAGAAGTGGCCAGTATTCAGTGCACGGGTCGATGCCGAACGTGGACGGATCGGCGGCGCACAAGAGTCGAGCAGTGGCGAAGCGTCCAGGCTGGCCTATAGGCCGGCCCATGTTCTGGTTTGCGCGATCTGTTCTTAGAACATTTCTGGTTGAGCCTGTCTTGTTTTAACACATCGGGATTACGTTCTGAGAACATTGCTTTTGTTATTGGAACATGTCTGGGTTCTCAGAGCATGTCGTGGTAGGCCTACAGGAATACCGGGACTGTCGGTCTCTGCTCAACAAGAGGGGCAGGGTTTGGTGGCGGCTTTCGCAGAAGGGCCCCAGCCCCCCTTCGCCTCTCTCTTCTCCGGCCTCCCGCGGCAGACCCCGGGACTGAGCCAGCGCAGCAGCGCAGCACGCATGAGGCTGAGTGTAGTACGTCTTTTAAGTCGGACGTGCCAGTCTACAGAGGGGGGATGTTCAAAGTAATCAAAATTTGTCTGGGGACTATGTCTTGAGGCGTTTTGCTATTGTTCTGCATTTTTGTATTTCTTTTCGTTCAAAACCCCTCTGTAGGGGGACACGCCCGACCTGATACTACCTTGTCTGAATTGGCGCGGGCTTTTAACCACATTCCCAGTCTGAAGACTCAGGCTGGTAGCACAACCATCATCTCCAAGACGTCCAACACTTGAATTATTGGATGCAACCGTTGGCAAGCATACAGTTCGCAAGAGCTTCTGCGTGAGAGGTTGCAGGCATGTTTTGGATATGGAGCTTTTGTTGAAGCCCAAAAGCCCCCAGCGTTGCGTGCCAGACGTTTTCTTTCTAAGACGTGCAATATTCGGAGCTACTAGTTCCAGCCATGCGTTCCGACATCTCGTGCATGCTCGGCATGTTCTGATTGTTCTTGACCGGTAGTCATGGACATGCTGGTTCAGAATGCACGTCATATACGTGTTGAACCTGGCATCGCTCGGACGTGTGTATTGTTTTTCCGGCGAGGACCCTTGAGGAACATCCTGGATCATCGAGCGAAAAAAACACGCACCAAACCGAAAACTGCACGGGAAATGGACGTCCGAGCGGTGCAAGTGAATTATTGGAGTTCTTTGGGGTCGCCAGCTACTGGAATCCTGGGACTGGGCATGAGCGCTCGTGGGCGCCTCGTCGGGTCCTCTCTGCGGGCCTCCTGGGGGCTCCTTGGGCGCTTGCTGGGGGCTCATCCTGCACTCTCGGTGCCGTCAAGACACCATGGTCTTGAGAAGAGGCTTGGTATCCTGAGGAAGTCCCGGCGGGTCCTTCGGCAGTCTTCTTTCGGGGGCGGGAACGAGGGGGAGATGACTGGGGGGAGATGGATATCATGGCGCGGGCCATGATATTTCCCCAGATTTCATGGCGCCTCTTCTTATTTCATTACGTTCCTGGCCGCCGGTCATGATTTGCACCCCCCTTCTTGGACACCCCCCTCTTGCCCGCTCCCGATTCTTGGGGGGGTCATCGGACAGGCTCGGTGCCCTCTTGGGCTTGTCTTGGGCAGTCCCATGGGCTTCCCAGGGGCAATCTGAAGCTCACTCGACGCGATCTGAGCCAAGCGTCGGAAGCAACAACACAGACACCTGTTCTTTCCCTCCGCGGGCAAGGCAAAACTAGGGGGCGGTCTCCTCCATCTCCTCCTCCCCCTCCCTCTCTTCCTCCTCCTCCTCCTCCTCCTCCTCCTCCTCCTCCTCCTCCTCCTCCTCCTCGGGTCGCCTACGGCCCCAGGGGAAACCGCGCAGGGGGAAGGCTTCTTAGAAGGAGGCTGCTTTTTGCAAGGCGATGGCCTTAGCTATAGGCTATAGGTGCAAGGCCGGCGCCTTCCAAGAAGCGGCCTCCTTCCTCCTTCCAAGAAGCCTTCCCCCCTCCCCCATCACCTCCCCCATCAACCCCTTGTGCGCGCCGCCAACGCAGTTGCTGGCGAGCACGCTGCCCACTCTCTCTCCTCGTTCCGGCATTGTCCCACGAATTCAGTGGCAATGCGAGCAGCTTCGCCAGGCAATCTGACGTGTGGGATGCGCGTGGCTGTCGGCAGATGCGTGCCTTGACGGAGCAATCGCTCTGACGTTCTTGCGTTATGGGCCGAATAGCAACACATGCACAAGCCTGAACTTTGGACGGTCCGCGCGAGTTTCTTTGACCTGCGCTGGCCCCCCCCTGGCAGCGCCTTGTCAGCGCCTCCAGAGCTGACCCCAGCGCGCCCCCCGCGCCAGGGAGGGAGGTCCAGCGCAGATCCAAGAAGTCCGCGCGGGCAGTCGAAGGCAGGGCTCGACCTAAGCAGTGTTTTGGCGAATTCGAGGGCTGTATTTCCTTCGGTTTCGTTTTGCAGCAAGGGCGGAACCGAGACAAAACGAGTGAAAACGATGACGAAACGAAAACCACAAACACGGTTGAGGTGTGTCCTTGATCGAAAGTGTAAGTCGATGCAGTCTAGTTATTCCTAAAATGTGTACGTCGGGCCCCCCAGGGCAATGCGTGCGCGCAGAAGTATTCTGGCTCATGCTCGGTGGCGGACACTTTGTTACTGCGCCCCCACCACACTTGTTCATGCGAAAATGTGAGTTTCGCGAGTGGGGGATTGCCAATCAACTCCCGATTGACATGTCGATGGTGCGACGAAGCTACGATGTGATTTGCCGCTGGTGCCGTCGCCAAACTTCTGATGACCGACTGTGGAATGTTGCAGCCTGGGCGTTTCGAAGCGGCCCCGCCGCCCAATGTCAGCTTGCGGCAGAGATCGACTTGGCAGCACACTTGTGCTACATGTGCGGTTGGGACGCGCGGCCCCAGCGGGGGCCCCATCGTGCCGGTGTGGTCCTCCTGCGTCCCAGCGGAGGCAGAGGCGGGAGCATCAGGGGCTCTTGCTGGGGCGGGCCAGGAAATTTGTCCTTCGAGACGATCGGGGACTGCGCGGCGGCGGGTGACGGCCTGAAGCCCTGCAGGAGCCGCCTCCCTCCGCCCCCCCTTGCGGCATCGCAGCGGAGGGGAGAAGGGGGCGGGGCTGGAACGTTCTGGATCGCTCTGAGAAGGCCGCGGCGTCCGATACATCCTCCAGATTTGCCGGATCTCAGAGATCCCCGGTTTTTGTCCCCGTTGTGGCTTCGTCTTAGTGGAGCACAAGGATGAGGGATGGAGGGGTCTGGGCGGATCGGACGGAGGAGGGGCGCGAATTAGCGGTCTTTGAACACCTGCGGATGACTCGACGCGGCCTTGCTGTAGGGCGCGCGCCGCAGCTCTTCCAGGATTGACCTGTGGGCGGCTGGGGCTTGGAGGGCCCTGTGAGGCTCGAACCAAAATTATCGAATCTGACGACACCTGACAGTTGATGGCGCGGTCCCCCTTTTTTTTTCACTGCCTCTCGCACGAAGGAGAGGGATCAGAGGGGAGATGGGGAGGGTGGAGGGAGGTGGGATGGATGGATGGGAGGGAGGTGGAGCAGGCGGAAGAGGCGGATGGCGGGGGTAGCAGGAGGAGGATGAGGGGGAAGGGGAGGATGAAGAGAAGCGGGGGGGGGTAGGGTAGCAGGAGGACGAGGTGGAGTCTCCAGTCTGTCGGTGTCACTGGACGTACACTGACCACGGTGGAGACAGTGAGGAGGTGTTGTGCAAAAAGCGCGGGCACGAAGATGTACGGCATTGACGATGAGGCCATTGATCAACGTAAAGTACGCAAGACTTCTTACTCGTCCCCCTCCGCATCCATTCCCCTCGGCTGCGGCGCAAACTTCTGCCAGCATAAATACATGATTGTGCGCAAGCGGTCGGACGTGACGGGGATCGTGCCAGCTCGCCGACCGCCCAAAGACAGGCGTTTGTGCCACGGTGGATCGGGACGGAGTCTCACCCTGCTCTGCTACTTGCACGCTGGCACTTGTCAATTGGGTATGGTTGCAGAGCTACGCACACTTGCAATCCATCCTGCGGAGCTGAAGAGGAAGAACGGGGAGTAGTCGAAGGCGATGAGAGGTATCTCTCCCTTTCGCCGGCCCTCTATCCCTTCCCTCGCACATGTGGGCACTCATGGAGGATGCTCGTCTAGGTGAAGCATGGAACAATGTCAACACTATGAAGCAGGACACCTGGTGGTCACCGTTCGCACCCTTGCATCCGCGGAACCATGTTCGGGATCTGATCTGATCTGTTTCGCCTCTGTCGACACGATGCTCGTCCAATGCCCCAAGGGCGGAATCTCGTTATACAGTCTGCGCGCGGTTGACAGCCAGAGGGGTGCGGAAGAGACGGGGTCTGGCAGGGTTTGTCAAGCGATGAGCGGCGGCGGAGGAGCGTATACATGAGGAGGATGAGGAGGACGAGGGGGAGATGACGTAAATATATCCTCACCGCTCCCGACCGCGCCCACGAGACTTGGGGCTTTTTTATGAGACGAAATACCGAATTATCATCCGCTCCCTCCCTTCCTCCAGGACTCCATCCGTCTCCCTTCATCCGATCCTTCGTCTTCCATTCCTTCTCTTCCGTCTGCGTCCCTTCTATCATCCTTTACCTCTTCGCATTCGTCTGCAGTTTTTGTTGCTCACTGATCCCTCCTCCACCCTTTCTCCGGTCATCTTCTCCATCCTCTTCATGTTCCTGTTTATCATCTTGTTCCCCCCCTACCCCATCACCTTCTGCATCTTCTTTATCACCTGACGCCCCCCCCTCCTCTGACTTTGGCACAGGAGCGTTCCCAATTTTCCCGTGCACATGCAGGGCAAAGACTGGAAGATCACCGTCCCGTACGCCACTGGCCTGGATACGTTCAGCATGAGCGAGGGGACGGTGTCGACGTCGAATATTCGCAGCTTCGTATCGGCTTTGCTATTGGCCATGCGCATCCTGATCCCGTGTCCGGAGTGTAGAGCATTCTGACGTTGGCCAGGGGGCGGGGGAATCGCACAGATCCCGGGCCTAGGATGGGCCTGGCCAATACGTAGGAGCGTCAGGGTGAGGTTGGTTGGCAGGTCCATCAGGGATCATCCGTGACGGCTGAAGCGATGCAGAGGACTAGCATGGTCGAGACGCGTATGCAAGTGTCGACAGCCTCCTGGCGTGCGGGGGCCCTCCCCCCCCTCCCCCCCCCCCCCCCCCCCTCCCCCTCCTCCCCCTCCTCCCCCTCCTCCCCCTCGTCCCCCCGATTGCCCACGAGGCCGCCGCTCAGTCTCTTCACATCGTGGGGACGGGGGTGGCGGGCGGGGTGGTCGGGGTCGTTCGAGGAGTCGAGGAAGAGGAGGGTCGGGGCCCTGAGCCGCGAGCTTGTACAGCGGCTCCGAGCGGGCCAGCGCCCGTGGCTCCCCACCCCCCCTCGGCTCCCGCGCCGCCACTTCAGCCCGAGTCTGGGGACTCGGACTAGCGGCGGCCTTCCCTCTCGGGCGCGTGGTCGCGCCCGTTTCCCGTTCCGAGGCCCAGTCGGGATCCCCTTTCTGCGCCCTCGGCCATAGCGCCCTAGTCCCTCCTCCTTCTCCTCCTCCCCCCCTCCTCCTGCTCGCGCTCGCGCCTCCGCAGCTGTCTTGGTCTCCCCGCGTGGGAGGAGCCGTGGATGGACCCCATGTGGGCCCATCGGGCCAGGCTTTGAGGCCTGGCGGCGGCTTACCTTGGGTAAGCTTCTGGAGAGCCTTGGTGCCCCGTTCTGTGGGTTGTGCACAGGGCTCTCTGAATTTCTTGGCCGCACGGATGGTCCAGGCTCCGCATCGGGAGCACCAAATGACACCATTCAACGTCTTGATGAACGGCCCGTGGGACGGGTGAAAACGGTTTTGCGGTCCTGGGGAGACGCAGGGGGTCTTAAGCCACCCGGGAGTTCCCTTGATAACACTACCTTGCTTGCCACAGACATGGCAGGCGATCTGGAAAAGGGGAGGGACAGGGGCAGAAAGGAGGGAGTGGGGCGTCCTAGTCAGCTCGACCTGCAAAGCTGCTACGCTACGCTCCACCTTCACTTTCCTACGGTTCTCCTTGGCATCTTCATCCTCCTCGAGGCCCAGAGGGTCTTTGTGGCTCCAGTAGTGACTCTGAACCGCTGCCAATTTATCCCTGATGAGATCGGCATGAATATCAGTGCCTTGGAGGTGCCGAGCGAGGGGCCCGGGAGCTTGACGCCACTGAGCTGCTTCCGCAGCGAGTATGTCTGCGTGGGCATTGAGGTGTAGGGCCCAGGGAGGCTCTCGAGCGGCTTCTTCTTCGGTGGGATGGCTTTTCACTTTGTAAAAGATCGTACTGTCCCGTCGGTTTTTGGCCAGGGCCCAGAACTTCTGCCAGGTGAACTGGTTCTTGGGGTGCCGAAAACGTGGGCCTCTGTTGAAGCCCGTGATCACATACCCACAGTCAATCACGATAATGAGGCGGCCGCTGGTGGACTGCAGCAACGCAGTGACTGCCTCGAGCTCCGCCAGCGGCACGGTCTGCGGGCCGATGATTCCTCCCTGGATAGTTCCTTCCCAAGTGAGGTCGTGTGCCCACAAAGATACGCTCCAGCCGCAGACTCTGGTGCGCGGGTCCTGCGTGTGAGGCCCTCCACTACCGTCTGTCGCTGACACCTGCCAGTCATCGAACTGATAGACTGCATGCTGTGCAAATACTCCGTTGCGGATCGTGTCCTGATCTAGTCCCAGAATGTGCCCATGGACTTGACGTAGGATCGTGGCAGGGATGATTCCCCGGAGCCAGACACTGGGGTTAATTGGGGACTCGGCCATTGCCCGATCGATGGAGCCCTGGGTCCGACTGATGGCGGGGATGTTGAGACTTCCCAATTCAGGACACGTCCAATATTTGTGTAAATCATTTCCGTGCTCTTGGCCGCAGAGAGGGCATTCGGCATCGTCCTGCTGGCCGCTCTCAAACCTGCGGTGGGCGCTCCAGCTCCTCGAGCAGGAAACGGCCCCTAAAGCTGATGGAGAAGTTGCTTCTCGCTGGGGTTCCTCCTGGGCCTGAACTTGTTTGGCTTGGGGGAGGGGGTATTCGGCTAGCTGCTTCTCGCGCGTCTTGATGGCTGGCCGCTTTTTGGCAGGGTAGAGCCGAAGAGAGTATACGTCCCCCCCCCCCTCCTGAAGGCCTCCAGAGTTGTGGCTGAGGGGGTATGTCGCTTTCCAGGCATGCATGTTCAAGAGGAACTTCAAGTGACACATGACAGCGTTCTGCCTGTCCCAGCTCAGCGGCTTGACGGGGAACTCTAGGCCCTCGGGGTCCCTCCAGAGCCATGTCGATTTTGGGGCCCAGCGTAGTTTGTACAGGGTGGCGATGATCGCGGACAGGTGGGACCTGACAATGAGCCACCTTGATGGTCTCTTGAGCTTCTCCCTCAGAGTCTCCCAAGCCTTCTGGATGCCTCCGAGGATGCTGAGCTCGGCGCTGGTAACCCGAAACCACATCGTGAACAGCTGGACCCGAAGATAGTTCCCTGGATACATGTTAGGTGGGTGTCATGGACGGGTGTGGGGGCCCGTGGTGAGGCATGCCCCTGCTTTAGATACTCCATGTGCCGCTCCCGCCAATCGGCGAAAATATTGGATTTCGGTCGGTGTTGACCCGTGTCCCTCCATGCCCCACTTCAGTTGCGGCAGGGCGCCTGTGCGGAAAAGAGATCGCGCCTTGGTTGTAGTCTTGGCCAGCTTCTTGATGTTCTTGTGTCTCTGCACTCCGAGACGACGACGGGTTCGGCGGACTCCCAGGACCCTTTTCTTCCCGATCGTGGTGTCGACCCCCAGGTCCCGAGCATGCTGGACGGGTCGGATCTGGGCCCCTGCTTGATTGAGTTCATTGACGACCGTGGTGCGGATGTCGTTGGAGCTGGCCAGGACCACAGACTTACCAGAGAGACGGCATCCTAGGTCAGCGAGTCCTCCACATAGCTGCATGATCAGCTCTGGGAAGGCTTCTTTCAGGGCCTCTGGGCTTCCCACGAGACGTACCCTGATGTCGTCGACCCAGGTTCGGATCGTGGGCCTTGGGATCTGGTGATGTGCCAACTCGATGACGTCGTACAGGAGGGCCCTGCTCCAGGAAACGCTTCGTCCGCACCCATGGAAAATTGAGGCCATCGGGATGAGAGGCTCGCTGACTCCGATCGGTGTCGTGAGGACTCTAGTGCACGTGTGGATGATCATGCCCAGCGCCAGTGGGACCACTGGGTAGCCTAGGGCGAGGGCCTTCTCAACCAGCTTGTGCTGGCGGATCGCGTCGAACAACTTTTCGGGGTCTAAAACGCCCTCGATGATGATGCACTTGAAGAGCTGCTCATCTCTGCAAAAAAAGCTCGCTGATGAGGGCTGCCCTTAAACACTCACTGCCTTTGATAGCTGCGTCCCGGAAACCTGCCCGCGCCTCTTCCCAGGAGGAGACCTGGCCCTTGAATGGGCGCATGGTCGCACGGTATGGGGCGTTCGTCAGGGTGATGGGGCGGTCGCTGACCTTTGTCTTGGGTTCCAGGGCCACCAAGTTGACTAGGCACTGGGCTGGAAACTGCTGCAGCCTACACTTATCATTGATAATGTCAGTGGGGATCTCCAATCCTTCAGGGGGAAGCCGACGGACACCTGCCACTCGCCACTGGTCCGCTCCTGGTGCAGAGTTGCCTGAGAAACTCCTAAGGGCCTTCTGAACTTGTTCTGGCTTCCAATTGTGAGAGGGGTCCCAAGAGTCCATTGCTTGCTGGCGTAGGTCTTGGAGCCATGGGGCCTCGAGGGGCTTGTCAGGGGGGATCTTATCTGGGCCCCAGTGCTGCAGCCAAAACTCGCTTTTGTGGTTCAGGGCCTTCAGGGGGTCTGTGATAATCCCCCCGTCGACCGAGCTGAAAACGCCATTGTCCTCTTCTGGAGCGGGCCCAGGGACCTGTGTGATATAGCGTGCGCCGCCTCCCCCGTGAGCGAGGGAATCGCGTGGCCAGGTCTTGAATGCAGTCTTCTTCTGCATCAAGGCTTCCTTATCAAAGTGCTGAACGATCAGCTCAAGTTGAAAGCGTGCATCTGGCCACGAGGTCGTAGCACTTGTGCCTGCGAGGTATGACTGCACCAGAGTCTGCGAAGCTGGCAGAAGGTCTGGCGGCCACACTGGGTTCGCCTGGAGGGTGGAGGTGAGGTACCCCTGGGTCCTCAAGAGCTCTCTGGAGGCTGGATGGCGTTGGAGTAGATGGTCTCGATCTTGGGCCCGCTGCTGGACCACCCCCCACTGATGACTTTCACGATGAAGCCGGTGCTGGAAGGGAGTGGGGGGGGGGGATGTCTCTCCAGATGACCTCGAAACCGTCCCCGCGACTGTAACCTTCTTGGGTGCCTGCAGGGGTCCCGATGCACCAACCCTCGAGGGCCCGACTGAGGAGGCCGCACTGGTGGGTGAGGGTGTTGCTGGCGAGCTCTTCTGCGATAGGATACTGCACCTGCGGCGTCTCGTGCTGGTCTAGCTGCGCCTGGTGCCAATAATGTGCCCACGGACTGGCTGGGGCTGCTGATGATTTGACTGATGCGGCTTGCCTAGGGAACCCTCCCTGGCGATGGAGTGCCTCCACTCGGAAAGCTGCTCTAAGTCCGATGCGTGGCCTCCATGGGCTGGTTAAATCGGTCTCGACAGACAGGTAGTCTGAGATCGAACTGTGGATGATGAAGTAGTCGATGAGACGACCATTGCGACACGAGGTCTCGATGTTCGCGGTCTTGACGACACCTGAGATTTTCTCGACCCAGGGGTGGCCTGCCAGGAGCTCCTGGGGGACCATGTTGAAATCTCCCGAGATGATGTACGGGAGGTCCAGGGAGGTGAGGAAAACGGAAATCTC